CCTTCTCTGTCAGAGAGCACTGGTGCCACAATAAACTACAGTTCCCATAATTCCCTTGCACTGCGGCAGGACAGTTTTAGGGCCTTTGCAGACTGCCAGAAATAGTGCACATTAAATTGAGGCACTGCCCTGGCTCAGTGCTAGGGAGTCATGGGAATTGTATTTTTTTCTGAGACATTGAGCCTTCTCTGCCAGAGAGCTCTGGTGCCACAATAAATTACAGTTCCCATGATTCCCGAGCACTGAGCCAGGGCAGTGCCTCAATTTAATGTGCACTATTTCTGGCAGTCTGCAAAGGCCTAAAGTGGCCTCAGACTGGATTATTTCTGGCAGTCTGTACAGGCCCTTTCTCTCTCACACACACACACACATACACAAAACATTTGGGTGGATTATTTCTGCATTGTGTTTTGGATCTCGAGACCAGGCTTTGAATTCTGATTTGGCCATGGAAACCCACTGGGATGCCCGTCACATTCTCTCAGCCTCAGAGGATGGCCCTTCTGAGGAAACCTTCCTAGGCAAAGCCCATGGGTCGTCATAAGTCGGAAAGGACTTAATGGCACACAACAAAAACAGTAGAGCTAGTTGGCGTGGCATAGCGGTTTGAGTGTTCGGATTGTGACTTAAGACCAAGGCTTGAATCCTGGCTTGGCTATGGAAACCCACTGGGTGACCAAGGTCTAAAGCAGACTGCAGAAATAATCCAGTTTGAGACCACTTTAACTGCCCTGGCTCAATGCTAAGGAATCCTGGGGCCTGTAGTTTTTTGTGGCACCATAGCTCTCTGACGGAGAGAAGGTTAAATGTCTCACAAAGTGACAGTTCCAAGAATTCCCTAGCATTGAGCCAAGGCAGTTAAAACGTTCTCAAACTGGATTATTTCTGCAGTGTGTTTTGGATCTAAGGGCCTTTGCAGACTGCCAGAAATAGTGCAAATTGAGTCCACTTTAACTGCCCTGGCTCAGTGCTAGGGAATCATGGGAATTGTATTTTTTTCTGAGACATTGAGCCTTCTCTGTCAGAGAGCTCTGGTGCCACAATAAACTACAGTTCCCATGATTCCTTAGCACTGAGGGCAGTTAAAGTGGACTCAATTTGCACTATTTCTGGCAGTCTGCAAAGGCCCTAAAAGTTTCCTAAGGCTTCAGCCATTAAGGGAGCAAAAAATATTTAAACATCAAAAATATCAAAGCTAAGCCTGTGAGAGTCTAGCTTTAAATCAGCAGAGCAACAGAGGATGGTTCTTTGAGGATTCTTCTCTAAGGGCTTAGACTGGCTCAGAAACAACACAAGCAGCTTGCACTTTAAACAAAAGTTTACTAATGGCTTGAATCTACATAGGCATAGATGCTACATCCTGACCTAGCTAATGGCCCTAAACACACTGCAGAAATAATCCAGTTTGAGACTGCCTTAACTGCCCTGGCTCAAGGCTAGGGAATTCTGGGAACTGTAGTTTTGTGAGACATTGAGCCTTCTTTGTCAGAGAGCTCTAGGGCCACAATAAACTACAATTCCCAGGATTCCCTAGCACTGAGCCAGGGCAGTTAAGGCGGTCTCAAACTGGATTATTTTTGGCAGTCTGTATAGGCCCGAAGATATCTTTATCTCACTATTTTGCTGAAGAAAGTTGAGAGAAGAGGAAGATGGGGGATCACATATTTCTTCTTTATCTAGACTTCTTTATTCAAACTCTATTAGACATACAACAACATAGGTTTACAATAAAACACTGAGTATCATTTTTAGAAAATGTAAGACATAAGTTTGTTGCCTCCACCAGAAAATTGGCCATTAGCCTGGTAATATACGGGTTCAAATCTTCCAATAAGAATTCCACTGATAGGGGGATCACATAGAAGCGGGAGATGAGAAAAAACTTCCTAAAAGGATGTGTATTGAATTACATGGTTTGTTTATCAATTTACAAAGGTATTTATTGCCCTGTAATTCAGCAAATGGGATGTTTGAATGATGGGAGACAGCAGAGTTTGCATGCAAGAAAACCGTATCTATCTGAGGAGGGGGAGAGAAAACGCTGAAATCTTCCTGCAGTTAAGAAAGTATCCCGCTAAGGAAGGGGATAGTGCTAATGAGACCTGATAAGAAGATAGGGTAAACGCTGAGATTATTTCAAAGAAGGACATTTTTAAATACAGGAACTAGAACTGCATCTTAAAATGGACATAAGGCAATAATTTTAACCATTTGTTGTTAAATGCCCTGGAGTCACCTGGACTCATGGCAACCCTGTGGATAAGACATCTCCAAGACCACTTTTCTTCCACTGCTTTGCTTAGATCCTGCGAATCCAGACCTGTGACCTCCCTGATTGAGTCTATCCATCTAGTGTGAAGTCTTCCTCTCTTTCCGCTGCCCTCTGCCTTTCCTAGCATAATTGTCTTTTCCAATGATTCTTACCTTTTCATGATGTGGCCAAACTAGGACAGCCTCATTTTCATCATCTTGGTTTCCAAGGAAATTTCTAGCTTTATCTGCTCAAGGACCCACTTGTTTGTATTTTTGACTGTCCACGCTATACTCAACACTCTTCCCCAGGACCACATCTCAAATGCATTTATTTTCCTTTCAGAATCATAGAATCATAAGAATTGGAAG